CATGACTTAAAAGGGAAATTCAAGTATGGATTAGGAATGCTGAATGGCCAAAAGGAATGGATGCACACTATCTGACCAGGAGAAAATAAAGAGATGGTGGAAATAGTATACTGAAGACCTATAAAGAAGGGATGAAAGGAGGACAGATTCTTTTGAAGAGAAGGCCTATGATGAAGAACCTGCCATTCCCAAAAGGGAAATAAAAGCTGCTTTGAAAGCATTAGGAATAAATAGATCACTGGAAGTAGATAGAATACCTATGGAACTGTTTGCAGCGACAGAGAAGGAATCTGTCAAAATCCTAACAAGAATATATCAACAAATATGGAAAACAAAACAATGGATCACAGACTGGAAATGCTCGATATACATTCCAATCCCTAAAAAAGGAGACACCAAAGAGTGCAGTAACTATAGGAGATTGCTTTATTTTCTCGTGTAAGCAAAGGGATGTTCAAGTTATTGCAACAAAGACTTTTACCTTATATGGACACAAGATACCTGTTGAAGCTTTAAAAAAGCAAAAGCAAAGCATGCTGCTTATATACCGCCCCATAGTGCTTCAAGCACTCTCTGGGCAGTTTACAAGTTAATTATGCAGGTTACACATTGCCCCCCCCCCCAGTGAGCTGGGTACTCATTTTACTGACCTCGGAAGGATAGAAGTCTGAGTCAACCTTGAGCCGGCTACCTGGGATTGAACCCCGGGTCGTGAGCACAGTTTTGCCTGCAGTACAGCAGTTTAACCACTGCGCCACAAGGCTGACATACAAAAAAGAAGAGGCACTTGAGATCTCATTGCAAATATCCACTGGCTACTGGAGTGTACCAAAGAATTTCAGAAGATCATTAGTCTAAGCCTTTGACTGTGTATATCATGAGAAATTATGGGTGGTTCTGAAAGAAACAGGTGTACCTCACCACCTGATTGTCCTGATGCACAATATGTATTGTGGACATGAAGCTACCATTAGGACAGAATATGGAGAGACCGAATGATTTCCTATAGGCAAAGGTGTCAGAGAAGGGTGCATTTTAATCCCCTTATCTGTTTAATCTGTACGCAAGACATATCATACATAAAGCTGCTCTCAATTCAGATGAAGGAGGAGTGAAAATTGATGGAAGAACATCAACAATTTAAGATATTCAGATGACATGATCTTACTGGCAGAAAGCAGCAATGACTTGAAATGACTGCTAAGGGAAGTGAAAGAAGAAAGTGCCAAAGCAGGACTGCACCTGAACATGAAGAAGACAATGTGAAGACAGAACAGAAGAACTACACAATTTTATCTTTGACAATGAAGAAATTGAAATAGTTTCATATTTTATATACTTTGGTTCAGGCACCAATCCGTTTGGGGACTGCAGCCAAGAAATCATTAGACTGAGACTAGGAAGGACAGCGTTGAAAGAACTAGAAGAGATCATCAAGTGTAAGGATGTGTCAACTGGAGATCAAGGCCCAGATAATCCACACTCTCATATGCTCATGTATGGATGTGAAATCTAGACAGTTAAGAAACCTGGCAGGAAAAAATGGATTTGTTTGAATGCGGTGCTTTGTGTATGCCCTGGATTGCTAGAAACACAAACAAATCAAGCCTGAATTATCTCTGGAGGCAAAAATGTTGAAGCTGAGGCTGTCCTACTTTCGGCACATGATGAGAAGCCAGGATTCACCGGAAAAGACAATAATGCTAGGAAAGGTGGAAGGCAGCAGGAAAAGAGGGAGACCAAATATGAGACGGACTCAAGGTTCCCTCTAAGATCCACAGATGTTCAGGTGCACAAAGCTGCATCAGAGCTGCTCATGGGCAGTTGGCACCCAGATTGTTTACTTCCTATTTCAGATGAAGCCCCACCCCTCCACACACACCCAAGGCGAGGCTTCTGTTTAGTGGAAATGACAATTAGATGGGACATTGAATGGGCTGACTCCCTAAAAGAAGTCACAGACTTGAGTCTGCAGGATCTGAGCTGTTGAAGACAGGACACTTTGGATATTGCTCATTCACAGAGTCACTATAAGTCAGAAGGGACTTGATGGCACATAACAACAACATAATGTCTGAGCATGGCCGATAAATCCACAAAGCAGAGGGAACTGGTACATCCATCGGTGGCAAAAGTACAAATGGGAAACTGGGTCTCAAGATGTATAAGAATATTGACAACACAGACTTGATTCTTAACTAAAAAGCTCAGGCTTCGCACATTTCAGGAAGACCTCTAGACCTCTTAAGACACGAATGGGAGAACATCTGAGTAATTTAAGAAATAGGAAGTCCTCTTGTCAGCCACTTCATAGAATTTAACCACACAGTAAGAGAACATTTCAGGAAGACCTCTAGACCTCTTAAGACACGAATGGGAGAACATCTGAGTAATTTAAGAAATAGAAGTCCTCTTGTCAGCCACTTCATAGAATTTAACCACACAGTAAGAGACTTCATAATACAACATTGTAGATATGGTTCCTGTGAGGTAGGAGAGGTCTCTAGTGAAAAGGGAAATTGACTGGATATTGAGGCTGACTTTAGGGGCTAAATGAAGGAATAGATTTCTCGTCCTTTTTATGTAGCACAACCTGCATTGCCTCAGTGATTATCTCAAGGACAGTGACTCATCTGCCATCTGAGAATACATTCCTTCTGTATTTGCACTTTGCATCAGTGTTGGAGCTGGTATAGACCAAATGAGAAGCAAATGTTCTAAAAGCCTCACATGTATCTTAAATGCTGTCATTAAGCTATACTAGTTTATTGATCTTGCTATGTGCATATTCACTAATTTTTCATACTGTTAACAGTATAGAAAAGGGGAGGGGGGAAGAGTTGTAACTATCCCTAGCTGGCTGTTTCTAAGTTAACATTTATTTTTAGTCTATGCTTAGCTCCTGAAGAAGGCCACAGTCAAAAAGCATTGAGCCTGACCTTTTTAAAATAAGAATGAAGACTGCATTGTCAATATCCTTATATATTGTCAATATCCTTATACTTTTGCCAATAAAGCCACAGTCATTCCATGCGAAACGACCAGTTTGTGACAGACCAAATATCTGCTTTTCTTACCTTTTCTTTAGGTCGTTCTTTTTCAATCTTAGCTAGTGAGCTATTATGTGACAAGCAGAAGGCTTTACTTGAATTCCAGTCTTTTTCTTCCTCGGAAAAAAAGTAGCATTTCCCTAGAGAAAAAATCCAGTCGTTTCCAGGGCATGGATCACAAGGAGCAGAGGGAACATGAGGGTGCTCAGGTCTACATCCCTGCTCATGCCTGAGTGCAACTGACAAAGAGACAAAGAATTCACTCATCAGTGTGTATGCACGCGCATAGGCATGTTCTCTCTCTCTCTCTCTCTCTCTCTCACACACACACACACACACATATACACACACACACACCATGAATGTAGATTGAAATCATTTGAATCCGAGTAGAGCCTAGCATGCTTTCTCAAGATGTCTTCAAATGCAATCTTGAGCACAAAATACATAGGTGCATGTTTCAGTTTTAATTGCACAAGCCTCTTATTTAAGCTATGCATCTTTCTTCAATACAGTGGTGCCTCGCTTAACAAGCGCTTCGTTTAACGACGAATCCGCATAGCGATGGTTTTTTGCAATCACATTGCAATGTTTTAAATGGTAAAAGATCGTTTTGCGATGATCGGTAAGCTGTTTCGCTTACTGATTTTCGCATAGCGATGTTTTTAGAACAGCTGATCAGCGCTCCCAAAATGGCCACCGGGTAATTAAAATGGCCACCCTCTGTGTTTTTGCACCCATTCCTCGCTTACCAGACAGTGAAAATGGCGGCCGTATGGAGGATTTTTACATAACTGTGAGTTTTTTGCCCATAGGAACACATTAAACGTGTTTTAATGCATTCCTATGGGCTTTTTTGTTCCGTATAGTGACGAATCCACATAGCGCGATTTTTCCAGAACGGATTATTGTCGCTATGCGGGGCAACACTGTACTTGTAGTTATAGAACAGGTAGCTGTATTAACCTGCGCAAGCACATCAGGCAAAACTGAAAGAAAAATAAAAAGAGAAGACAAAAATGCCGTGGTATCTTAAGAACTAACTGCTGTATTATAATGTGAACTTTAGTGGACTAGTCCACTCCTCTGCTGTCTGAAGAAGTGGAGTTGTCCACGAATGCTGACATTAAAACATAGTAGTTAGTCCTTAATATGCCAAAATGTTCTTATATTCTTTATTTTCAATATTTCTTCAATACTTGTCCCCCACTGTTTCCACAGGCTAATGACATGGAATCAGGGATACAGTCCTGTCTACAGGAAGTCAAGGAACCAATGAGATTATACCGGTTGTGGCGGAGCCACCTTGAATCCCTGTGTAAAGGGAGAAAAGTAGGATACAAATTGAACAATACAAGAATAATAAATAAATAATTTTGAGTTACTTTCCTCCAAGATATTCAAGGACCATTTTTTGCTGTTGGAGAGACATCATTTTCTATTATCGTTCCATCCAAACTTAAAAAAAAACATACCTTTTTTTCCCTGCTGTACTATCAAATCTTAGTATAATTTTAAGTTGCAGTTCTTGTTTAGATATGGTACATTTTTTTTCAAATCAATTTCATTTTTTCTGTTAACCCTGAACAGTTAACAGTGGTCTCAGGTGAAACATCCAAGGTAGGCCAAACACGAATGCCATCATTCGGTGATTAATCCCGTCCCTCACACAAACTTGCTAGCACTTGATCTCATAATCAAACTATAGTTGTACTTCTGTCTTTAATCCCACACACGTGCGCTCGCGCGCCATGGAGCCGTTGGGTGAGTTGAAGCGCACAGTGGGCGAGAAAGCCCACGAGCCTTGCTTCCCCATGCTGACCCTCTTCTGGCTGGAGCTGCCTCACTTGCTAGCTTGCTCACTTTCTTTGTGTCCCCCTCTGGGAAGGCCATGGTGGCCGGGTTTGACAACAGCTGGTAGGACTCACCTCCTTGGAGAGAGGGGCCCAGAGTGGCCTGGCCTACCTCCCCGGTGCAAACAAAGCAGGTGGGCCACATGGAGGGGGTGGTGTGAGGAGAGGGCTCGGCCAGCGCTGGGCCCCTTCCCAAGGCAACCTTGAGGGGGCACAATACTTGCCTCAGGTGCTGGCAACCCACACTATGCCACTGACCCCACGGAACTCATAGCAGCTGGTGGAAAGGGGACACTCAGAGAAATGACACAGGAAGAAAGGGTGAAATGCTCCCTCCTTCATAATTTTTCCTTGTGATTGAAATTCTCATGTGTGGCAGCTAATGAGTAAATGACGTAGATTCACACACAATGGAGAATTCTGGTGAGGAATGGCTTTTTCTGTCAATATTTTCATAGGGACTAGAATAACTGTTCCACTGTTTTGGTGAAATTCTGTGACAACGTATTACCAGAAACCCATGCAATAAGCAAACCTTGGTTTTTGAGTTGCTGACTGAAGCCATGCAGCTGCATCAACTCAGACGGAGATAAATGTTTGAAAAGTAGCATCGGCATTGGGCAACTTACCTATTATGAGGGCAATGATGAGGATGAGGATGAGGAGAACAAGGAAAACAAGGACCCGTGTGACAGCTAATGGATGTTTTTGGACCATCGTGCTTACTAGAGAAGAGGAAAACACTAGAATGAAATTGGAAGTATTTGTCAGCCTGATTCAAGGAAGCACCAAGATTATTGTTCCTGTCTCTGTGAGCCATGAAAACTCAAATAAGAGCACTTCTGCATTACAATTAGTAGCATATTACTGGACAGCTTAGAAGTGTGTGTAAACATTTCAGCCTTATAGGCTACATCTGATCAGCTGAGGATCCAGTGGCACATGTATATATACACATACATGTACACTACAAAGTAACTTTCAAAGCTCTGCTGTGAGAGGAAAATGGTTGGGTACACAGAACATGCCAACAACATAGGTTGCACAGTCTTGATTATTCTTTAGGAAATAATTCATTATGATAACAGTTTTTTTTCAAAGTAACAGAGGCTCACTACTCAATTTAGTTTTAACTTGACATGATTTGTTTGTGCTGCTCATTACTTTTTTATTATTTTTGATTACTTAAAAAAACTGAGAATGATAAGAGAATGGCATAAATATTGAAAAAAAATCAAATAGTTCTGAATGTTTTTGAAAACTAACTTTTGGAAACAAACTTTATTCATTCACTCATTCATTCATTTATTTGATTTCTATGCTGTACCAGTAAATGGTGCGGTCTGGAACTACTTGTTATCCCAGTAAAGTACCTTCATCACACAATTTTTGAGGTGTTGCACCCTATTACCGCCGAAGTAACTGCACTAATGTCTAAATTACTATAAATTAATTCCTTCTGAAATTCACCTGATATGTTTTTGCAGCAAGAAGATCCCAAGGTGTTGCTGGTCTCTCCTGAAGGGTCATTCTGACCTCCCTCACTACATCTGTTTCTTTCATTTCCAGGTTGAGCTTCTAATAAGTGAATAAAAAAAAGGTCATTTTATAGTAACTAACAGAACTTTTACAACCCAAACCCTAATCCGGAGCGATAACCTTGGTCCTATAACCTCGACTTACGAACGCCCCTACCTACGAAAATTCCGAGTTACAAAAAGCTCCAGCCACAAAATTTTGCTTTGTCTTGCGGCCGAAGCTTCAACCTAAGAACAGAAAAAGGCAGGGGAAAAGAGAGGGAAATTCAAACAGTTGGTGGCAAAGAGGTTGCCTCTTTGTAGCTCTTTCCCCCCAATGGTTAGAGCAGGGGGTCAGGGAACTTTTTTTACTTCTCCGGTGCAGGAGGAGGAAGGAGAGGCGGAGACAGCTCCGGATCGCCGTCGGGCACAGGAAGCCAGTGCGCTCCCTGCCCATCCTTGGTGCAGGTCTAGTCATGAGTAAGGCCTGCCGAAGGAGAGGGTCTACTCATGAGTAAGGGTGGCCAAAGGTGCTGGCCTGGGCTGAGGCATGCGGGTGAGAGGGGCTCCTCTGTGGACGGGGCGTGCGGTGGCAGTGGCACAGGAGGAGGCTCCCTGCTGGGGAGTGAGTGCCATCAGAGGAGGCTTCAGGCTGCCTGGTAAGCTGCTGCTTTTTCTTTTTTTAGAAACTTCTGGGTGGGTTTTGCAGGGTAGGTTTCGGCTGAAGGGAGTTATGTTTCTGTGCTGTGTTGTTTTTTGCAGTCCCAGCGTGGGGATTGCTCAATGTTTATTTTTTGGGTTGTTGTTTTTTCTTGCAGCCTTCGGAGCTTGCTCTGTTTATTTTTGGTTGTTTTTTTAAAGCGCCAGTGCCTTCCGATGAGTCTTTCTGTGTGCTTAAATAATTTTTTTTTGGTATTTTTTTAAAACGCTGGAACGGCCAGTGCCTTCCGATGAGGCTTTCTGTGTGCTTAAATATAATTTTTTTGTATTTTTTTTAAACGCTGGAACGGATTAATCCTGTTCCCATGCATTTCAGTGGCAAATAGTGCTTTGACTTATGAAAATATCAAGTTACGGCCACTGTTCCAATACGGATTAATTTCGTAAGTCGAGGCACCACATGTAGACGAAAGCACTCTAACCTCCCTCTTTGGCTCCCACTTCCATCACCTTTCTCCATTTGGCTCTCGATATAAAATCGAGAGACCATGGTCCCCATGGACCAGGCCTACCGTGCTCTGATCCATGGGGTCACAAAGAGTTGGACACGTCTAAACAACAACAACATAAAATCAGAGTCCCAGCCCACATGGAGAAGCCCACAGGAAGTGGAACCACTCCTCTTTAGACTTATTGCTCTCCACATGGAGGAGGGCAGCAAAACCAGAGAGAGAGAGGAGTCAGGGCCAGAGGATTCTGTTAAACAGGATGTGATGCTTAGGTAAAGGTAAAGGTTCCCCTTGACAATTTTTGTCCAGTCGTGTTCGACTCTAGGGGGCGGTGCTCATCCCCGTTTCCAAGCCATAGAGCCAGCGTTTTTGTCCGAAGACAATCTTCCGTGGTCACATGGCCAGTGCGACTTAGACACGGAACGCTGTTACCTTCCCACCGAGGTGGTCCCTATTGATCTACTTGCATTTACATGCTTTCGAATCGCTAGGTTGGCGGGAGCTGGGACAAGCGACGGGCGCTCACTCCATCACGTGGATTCAATCTTACAACTGCTGGTCTTCTGACCCTGCAGCATAGGCTTCTGCAGTTTAGCCCACAGCGCCACCACGTCCCATGATGCTTGTTGAATTATAATACCTGGATAGGGCTACTGTTGAACATGCCTCAAGGTCTTTCTTTCTTTCTTTCTTTCTTTCTTTCTTTCTTTCTTTCTTTCTTTCTTTCTTTCTTTCTTTCTTTCTTTCTTTCTTTCTACTCTGCCTTTCCACTACAAAGTAGCACTCAATACAATTTATGATCTTCCTAAAAGAGTAAAAAATAAATAAAACCAAATGTAACCACAAAATCATAAAAATCAAGGAAAGTGGACCTGACGATAAAGTCCATAAAATCTCACTTTTATTTTTCAGGCATTACTTAAAATGTGCACTTGTTTGTACAATATTCGAGGGAGTGGGGGACAGGAACAAGTTTGTCTTTGACTACTGCTTGTTCATTTTTGTATTTTCATTGTACTAGACATTAGAGGGAAGGAAGGAAAATTAGACACAGAACTGACAGTTTTGGAAGCAGACCATCTACCTTTTGCAGTTTTGTAAAATTGTTCAGTGAGTTGAAAAAGTTACTATCACAATTAAATTTTGTTTCTGAGAACTACTGTTACATTTTAGTGATAGCAGCATCAGACCTGCTATTCATTCTTCTGTCATTTGGTTCCTGCCCTCTAAGATTTTAGAATTTTGAGTTTCCAAAACATGACACAAGAAAACAGTTTCCTTGATAGGTTCATGAGCCATTGCACATCAAATAAGGACAGTTGTGCATGGAAGATTCATCTGATTTAATGATGGATTGTCTTGGAATGATTTTAAACTTACCATCCGAGGGACTTAAGAGCTGCAATTGTTCACCTAAATCTGATGGAGAAGACACAAATTGAGTATATCAGTATCAAAACTAAGTATTCTAAAAAACATAGGATAATGAGACACCTTTCTTAGAACACTAAAACAAAAATTAAAAAAAATTAATTGAGCCTTCATGAATTAAAAAGAACTTCTTCAGACATACACCAGTAACTAGTGGATAGTGCAGTAAAATGATAAATGAATATCTCAGAAATTCATGGCAAAAGCATTGTCTTAAGATGAGGTTAAAGCTGGTTGCAGGCAAGCTTTGTGGGTGTGGCTTAATGTTTCACCGTGGTAACATGTGGTTGGAAATTTCCACTCATTCCTGGAAATTACCATTCTTGTATCATATAATGATCACACAGCTCAATTGTGTTATGTTTTTTAAAAGTTTCAAAAGAAGAAATGGGCCCTTCAAAAAAAAATGCTGTCGTCAGAACGCCTGCCACCCAGGTCCACCATCATCCTGGATCTGTTCCATCTACTTCCTCCACGACTTTACCCATTTGCCACAAAATATCACCGCTACCGAGACTTTCCAATCCTCATTAGCCATTTTGTTTTTTTGAGAGGTGTCCTTTTTGAGTTCCTCCACAAAGATTTCTTGCCCGCTTGTGAATACACTATCAAGACACTGTTAACCTTACAGGCAGCAATTGCTAGCAGGTGAGCAGCATTGATAGGAATAAAAATGATACTTGTTAAATTCCTTGGTCTTGCCCATTTCGGTCATCTCAACATGCTGAGACACCTCATTGACACCCATTTGCTGAAGGAGAAAAGTCCTCTACATTACCTTGCGTTTCAGCTGGGTTGCCATTGTTCACCTGTAGTAAGGGAAAACAACAACAGATCACAAATAGATCGCACAGATGAATTCTCTCAGAGACTTTGTGTTCAGGCCCAGCACCAGGTTTAAAGGGGTTTGTACAAAAAGTGCTGAACTCCCCCCCCCACAAGCAGCACCCTGAGCAGGAGCAGAGAGCCTGTGTAATATAGCATTTGCCCGCCTCCCAGCAAGCCAACTGGATGGACCAGGTAGGTAGGTAGGCAGGCAGGCGGCAGCGGGAACAAGTGGAAGGTGCTGTGACCACAAATCTCATGCTCCTTTCAACAGAGAAAATAAAAATGTCTGTTGATAATGGCATAATCCCAACTGCTGCCCCCCCTTTCAGTGAATACAGAGAGCCTGTGTAATATAGTACAGTGGTTCCCAACCTTGGGCCTCCAGATGTTCTTGGACTACAACTCCCAGAAGTCTTCACCACCTCTGCTGGCCAGGATTTCTGGGAGTTGAAGCCCAAGAACATCTGGAAACCCAAGGTTGGGGACCACTGATATAGTGGATAGAGTGCCAGATTGAGACTCAGGACACAGGGATTCAGAGATCCCTGCCTGTCCTTGGAAATTCACTGCGAGGATGGCAGTGGGAAACCATTCCTTGTAGGTCTCACACACCCTGATAACACTACTGAGGTTGCCGTAAATCAGAAGCTTGAGGGCACAGAACACCAAGTTGGCATGGGGCAGCTTTGGGGAAGCTCAAGTGCTGGCAGGACTCCTTTTTTTCCTCTCCTTCCTTTTACGAACTGTAAAGAAAGGAGAAGCGATGGACCCCACAGCTCCAATCCTTTCCTCTTCAAATGCTTCTGGGCTCTACCCCCAGTGGTAGCAAAAGGGGACGAGGACACAGGGGCACTCTCTGAAAGCAGAGGGGGTGGCCATTCCAGGTCTCGACCTTCCCTTTCAGCACCAGGGCCTTCAGCTTGGAGAGAGTCAGACCTCAAAGTCTTGGTGTTCACCTAAGTGGGCCTGCCATGGCTGACCATCTTCACCCTGAGCCAAATACTAAAGTGGAACGTGTCTCAAGTCGAGAAAAACCTCTGGAAAATTGGACACATTCCCAGAGGACTTTAGCCACTATTCTGACTCATTAATTCCAATGCACAAAACACGTATGTACAGTGGTACCTCGCAAGACGATGTTAATTCGTTCCGCGAAAATCACTGTCTTACAAAAACATCATCTTGCGAAACGAAAAAGCCCATTGAAATGCATTGAAACTGGTTCAATGCGTTCCAATGGGCTGAAAACTCACAGTCCAGTGAAGATCTTCCATAGGGGTGGCCATTTTTGCTATCTGTAAAGCGGGGAATCCATCCTGAAAACACAGCGGGGAGCCATTATGCACAGTGGGCGGCCATTTTAGAACCGCCGATGAGCTGTTTCTAAATTGTCATTTAGCAAAAAATCGGTTCCTGAAGCAGGGAACCGATCATCGTTAAGTGAATTTTCCCCATAGGAACATCGTTTTGTGATCACAAAAGCGATCGCAAAAACTTCATTGTCAAGCAGTTTCGTCGTGTAATGAGGCAATCGTTAAGTGAGGCACCACTGCATATAGACATCCCAACAAGACTTTGGAAGACTCTCCTTCCATTGTGTTCCTCACACCTGTGCTCTGTTCTTCATTCCTCCTACATGCCATCAAGTCAGTTCCAACTTATGGCAACGCTATAAATGAGAGATCTTCAAAATGTCCTCAACAGCTCTACTAAACACGAGGCTATGGCTTCCTTTTGGGACTCATTCCATCTCATATTTGGTCTTTCTCTCTCTTTTTTTGCTGCCTTCAACTTTCACCTCATTTTCTAGAATTGCAGATTCTTCAGTCATAGGATTCATTCCTATGAAGTTATTCAGGAGAAAATTGGAGAGCCCTCTTGTCACATTTGCTTTGACTTGGATTCCTGCACTGAGCTGGAGAGCCCTCTTGTCAGATTTGCTTTCACTTGGATTCCTTCACTGAGCAGGGGGGTTTGGACTCTATGGCCTTATAGGCCCCTTCCAGCTCAATTATTCTAGGATTCTATGGTTGTAATAAACGCCCCCACTTTCTTCCTACAGTCCCAGTACCTTCGGCCACATGGGATGCTCTCCCTCGGGGAGTGAGCCAATGGAAGAAGAGGCATTCTGCATACAGAGAGAGAGAGAGAGAGGATTATAATAAATGCCTCCACTTTCTTCCTACGGTTCCAGTGCCTTCAGCCACATGGGAGGCTCTCCCTCAGGCAAATCACTTTGTGTGCATGCATTTGTGTATGAGAGAGAGACAGAGAGAAAGAGAGAGAGAGAGAGAGAGAAAATCCAGGCTGAGGGGAAAAGCAGGGGAAAGGGAGAGGGTTACCTCCCTTTTGTCTCCCCCACTTCACCTCATGCTCTCACCATGTTGTGACTGTCTCCTTACTCTTGGGTAGGCCTTGCTTTGAATGGAGCACAGGAGATGACCCACTTTCCCTGTGCCTGTGCTGATGATCGGGGGGGGGGGCACTTAATTGTATGCTCTGATTTTTTCCCTTTCCCATTTTTCCCCTAGCCAGCATCTCAACAATATCCCAGGAAATTATACTCACTGATGTGTCTTTGGTGGTTGCCATCTCTTGATTTCTGTCTTAGGCCTGACTGAATGTCAGAGCTAACAATCACACTTCAGAGTTTCAGACACACTTTTTCTTTTTTTCAGTTTTTTTCTCATTCAGTCCTTCACATGATAATTCTGAGCAAATGCATCACCAGTCATGCACTGTAAAAAAAAAGATTTCATTGGATAAGAAGGAAATAACCATTATATTTATTTTATTAT